CCTCCTCCTCCTCCTCCTCCTTCGTCCTCCTTCCTCCTCCTCCTCCTCCTCCTCCCTCCCCCTCCACCAACTTACCCCATTCCTCCTCCTTCCTCGTCGTCGTCCTCCTCCTCCTCTTCCTCCTCTCCTTCTGCTCCTTCAACTCCCCCTACTCACACAATCTCTCTACCCCTCACGCTCCTTTCAACATCGTCCTTCTGCTCCAGTCTTCACATCATCATTGTCTCCCGCCTGAAGGAATGAAGCCGCATCATTCTGGTCCACTCATCTTCAGATCTTCAACGTTGCTCCAACCTGAAGTTATTGAATGGCCAAGGTGGTACCTCCTCCCTCTCCCCGCACGACTATTTTCAACATGGAACAGCCAAAGTCGTACCTCCCACCTCTCACAGGCTCTCTGTCTGCACGCATACACAGAATATTTCCGCAATAAAATCTTTCACCATTGTTCAAGAGGATACACGGTGGTCATGCTATTCCAGCGGTCCCGGGCATCTGTTAAAATTGGAACGATGCGGAGACAATAGCAATAATCCCTGTCCAAGGAGACGAGCACACATGCACGTGAGTCAGAAAGGCTCCACAGTCTACACAAGGAACAGAACCTACCCTATCAACTAGATTTAAAAGAAAAGAAACAACTAGATTTAAAAGAAAAGAAACAAAAATCAATGGTAACCGTTTTCACCACCCTCTCTAGTCTCTCCTCTCTCCTCTCTCCTCCTGATCAGCAGAGCCTTAGAATGGCCGCACCGAGCAGCAACCACTGCGTCTCCGAATCCAATCACCAACCAGCATCTTTATCGGCATTTCAACATTTCGGCTCACTCCTCCTCGTCCTCCTCCTCCTCCTCCTCTTCCGCCTCTTCCTCCTCTTCCTCCTCCTTGTGACTCACATTAATAAATGATATTCTCTGAAAAAATATGGTTTTCTTTCTGCCTCGAAGAGAAAGGAGATGGTTTTGCACTCTTGCACTCACCCGATTGGAGTGCACACTGCACATCGCACAACAATCTTTCGTTTCCCTCCAAGGCCTAAAGAAAGAGAGAGAGAGAGAGAGAGAAAAAAAAAAACTGCAATTTTGCAGAGAATATCATTAATTGACGTGGGTCACAGCATGCATGCATGCATACTGTGAACCATGCATGCTGTGACCATGCATGCTGTGACCATGCATGCTGTGACCATGCATGCTGTAACCATGCATGCTGTGACCATGCATGCATGCATGTATGCAGAGAATGTCGTTAAATAACGTGGGTCGAAGTGTGCATGGATGTAACCTAACAGCATACTTTGACAGTTTGCAGCAGTCAGCAGCACACACACAAAAACAAAAGGCAGCATTGACACGAGCGAAGTCGTAGCCATCTTTCCCCGAATAGAATGTACGGTCATTATCGCCATATCCAGACTGACAGTTGTGCAAAATAAAGCCAAAATAATGACTAGGCGACGTGTATTTCATCCCGGCAAACACTGTAGGAGCGGTAGCACTAGCACTAGCACTAGCAGCAGCCGTACCAGTACCAGTACCAGTACCAGTACCAGTACCAGTAGCAGTAGCAGCAGCCGTAGCAGTAGCAGTAGCACTAGCAGTAGCACTAGCAGTAGCAGTAGCAGTAGCAGTAGCAGTAGCACTAGCAGTCGCACTAGCAGTAGCACTAGCAGTAGCAGTAGCAGTCGCAGTAGCAGTAGCAGAGCAGTAGCAGTAGTGGTACAAGAAGTACTAGTAGTACTACTAGTACTAGTACTACTAGGACTACTACTAGTAATACTAGGACTACTACTAGTACTACTAGTACTACTACTACTACTAGTACTAGTACTAGCAGTACTACTAGAACTAGTAGTAGTAGTACTACTACTAGTACTAGTACTAGCAGTACTACTAGTACTAGCAGTACTACTAGAACTAGTAGTAGTACTAGAACTAGTAGTAGTACTAGTACTACTACTAGGACTAGTAGTGCTAGTAGTACTAGTAGTAGTAATATACATTCTCATGAACAGCAAGAAATGGCCAAGAGGGGTTGCTGCAATGACCCGGGGATGAAAATCCCGCAGAGAAACGTGCACCTGAAGTCCGACTTGTGGCTGGACATGAGAGATTGAGATTGGTGTGTAATCCAGCAGAGGTGATTGCTGTAAAACTCAAAGACCCCCTGACGCATCATCTTCCACACATGATACTAAGCTGATTTTATTGATTTTATTGATTTTATTGATTTTATTGATTTTATTGATTTTATTGATTTTATTGATTTTATGATTGGACGGCAGAACACCCACCCAACTGCAGAAAGGCGGGCTGGGATCTCTATGGTGGGTAATTATGGCCCCATCGCCATTCACAGGATTAATCTAAGGGGAAAAAAAAAAAAAAAAGATTAGTCTGCACCAAGCTCATTTTCTGGATGTCAGAAAATCCGGCGTAGGCAATTCAGATCTTGATGCAGACTCACGCTGGCAGAGTCGGGACAAGCCAAAAAAATTACCCTCCGTAGATGAGGATCCCTTTACGGGCCGCTATATATGGGGGGATGCATATGGAGGGGGCCCTTGAGGGGGGGAAGAGGGGGGCAGCGAACAAAACCGCAGAGAGAGAGAGAGGGATTCATTCGGAGGATTTTTCAATATTTTGTATTTTAATTTTAGAGAATAAAATAAAATAAAGAAGAAAGAATCAGGGTATACTGACACTTGTACTTTCCCGAATGTATCTGACCAAAATCACGGCCAGATTCTGTCAAAAAATTTCGCGTGTGAATATGCCCTTACTCAGCCAGGCAAACTTGAACATATCCGTACCTGGGAAAGTAAAAACGAAGAGCGTCAACCAAAAAACAATAATAATAATAATAATAACAAAATCTCTTTCCAGGATGTATCTGACCAAAACCACGGCTAGATCCAATCAAGAAAGCCCTACTGTGAGTACTAGGCCCTTGCTACTCACAGGACGACCGACATGAGCGCACTGCCTTCGGACACGTGGCATCCATCCAGGACGTATCGGACCAAAACCACGGCTAGATCCATTCAGATAGACAAGAGTAGCAATGAATGGATCTCAGGAAATCAGAGCGGTCATCGAGAAGGGAAGGCCACGTGTCATTGATTGCCAGGCTGGGATTGGGACTGACCAACGGCAGTCGTCGGGATACGAAGATGAAACATCGTAATGGCGACACGTGTTGTCACACCCCCTAGTTTCTTGTCCTCTTCTCCCTCCCTCCCTCTCTCCCTCTCTGCCACGTGGCAGCTCTACGGTCGGCCATCCTCTTCCCTTGTCCTTTCTTCTTAGACTGAATCCCTTTCTCTCTCTCTCTTTCTCTTGCCTCTGTGAGGTTTGGTTTCCTCCTCCTCCTTACTTCTTTACCTCTCTTTGCCTTTTGGCCAGCAGTGCGTGCAAGTGGGTCCTTGTGACACACGGTGATGGGGATGGGGGCAGCAGTCAGTGCTCAACCATCATCATCCACGTGGCTGGCCTGGTACGTAAGAGGTGATGAACAGGCGTAGCTTTCCTTCCTTCCTTCCTTCCTTCACATTGTGAATCAGAGCGCAGAAGCGAAAAAAAGGGGAAAGAAAAAAGGAAAAGGAAAAAAGGGGAAGGGGAAGAGGTAAGGAAAGCTCCACCTGTCCATAACCTCTTACGTACAAGGCCAGCCACGTGGATGACAGGTTGAGCGCTGGCTGCCCCCATCCCCGTGTGTCACAAGGACCCACTTGCACGCAGCCAAAAGGC